CTAAAACCATATTGTCTGATCGTGAACATCCTCTTCATTCACAACTTTCACAGAATAAGACCAGAAGAAATTTCATAAGAATTTATGCTTCTACAGCGCTCTTAAATATAAAAATTCAACCATACCATATTTAGCACAGCTTTTGTGTGAACAGACGAATGTGTGAAAACAGCTAACTATAACCAGGATTATTATTATTATTATTATTACGTATGGTATTCTTCTTCCGTTAACTTTCAGTTTTTATGACATTGTTTTTACCATTTTATGCACTCATTTGCGTTGGTAGCACACAGTTACAGTGCTCGCCGACCACGCCTCATGTGCACAAAGGTTCGATCCCCTCCCACATATGCACTCCTTTACCTCTCTAAACCAGTAATAATACTGGTAAAGAGGGAAGGTTGGGATTGAGGCTAGCAACCCCATGCCGTGAAAAAAGTGAACACCACCGCTACCAAAACTTGAAGCCTCGAGCTTGAAGGTGACCTATGTTCCACTGAGGACGTAAAGGAATAAAAATTTAGAAAATAATTTTTAAAAATGCATTTATTTACTTGAAAAAGAATATAAATTATCGCAGTACGTACAAAGTCTGAGAATTCCATTCTGTCTTAAACATTACTGCTAGGAATAAAGTGATGACTTTTATTAATATAGTAATATATCTAATAATAACATATTCACACACGAGTTCTCCATCATTATTCTGTTCTATTTTTGTTCAAATTTGCATTTTCAATTAATCAGTAGGCAAAAGAAGGTTCAGATGTTGAGTTCTCACTAGTATGCAAATCAAATCAGTTACTTTCACAATTAGTACAGTGATAAATACTGAATTTGTATCTAAAGGCAATATCTTTTTAAAAAAACAGTTATCACTTGTGGTAGCTGATGAAAGCAGTGTGCGTCGGTGGTACAGAGTTTAGGGTGATCGCCGACCATGCACACGGTCCGAGGTTTGACCCCCTGCCGACGCACACCTGATATCAAAGGTCGGCCTGCAAAATTTTGGGCTACCGATATCCATGCTGAAAATTGCATACTTGCACCAAAAATACAGTGTAGAATCAAGCTGTAATCAAAAATAATAAAATAATAACGCAACATCTTTAGTGCCACAAAAGCTGTGAAACACTGAGATAAGGGCAAAGTCTTGCTTTCATTTAGAAAAGTGATAAAAATGTGTCATGTTAGTCACTTATTAAGCTTGATATTCCTAACATCAGTCGACTACAATCTGCAGCTTTTATTTTCCAAACAATTGGTTATTGATTCTGAAACTAAAAAACGAATTACCTGAGCTAACCACTTTTTTGCGTTTGTACAACCACGTATATTGGCTGTTTCACACACTAGGAACTTGCGAACACCTATCATTGAGGCTAAATAAAGGTGTAGCGGAAACCATTAACAGTTTTATACTGGATCATCTGGTTCAAATAGAGTCTTTCTGTATGACTGTATGACTGACCGCTTTCAGCGTAGAACTTTGCACAGATGCACAGCACTTCAAGTTGCCACACTCTTCACTTGCAACACACAAAGCAAGAGAAGACAGTGAAGAGCGATTTAAATGAGAAAGAGAGAGAGAAGAAACAGAAATGTGAAGCAAATAGAATAATTGTATGAAAGAACAATATCGATTTATTGAGTAATATAAATCAAACAGAGTGAATGCATCTGTGCCACTGAGAAAGATTTTAGCCGACCACATTTTATTGGTTCTTACCATCTTCAACCAGGAAGTCTACACTTCCTGACGTGGTTGGCTTAAACTAACTGTTGTGGATTTCATTGACTGATGAAACCATGTTTTGATTTGACCACCACTAGCTCTTTTCCAATCTAATCATACGTTAGATAACATTAATTGTCGAGGAAAGCGATGACTAGGCATGCGTAACACATATCCTAAGTATATCAATCGATGTAACTTCATAACCTCGTCGACTGATTTACCCTCTTTACCCCGTAGCACTCGACCGATAACTAACCTCATTACTGCTCACCCTATTATAATACCTAAAACGGGAGATAGAACTCAGACACCTATGATCAAGGACAACTAGACAGCCTTTACATATCTTGCATTTTCAATGGCCATGTCTCACAGTCATCATCTGTCGGGGAGTGAATAAATTACTGAAGGCCTTTAAGCAACACTGAACATTGTAAACAGCAGAGGCAATTGATATTTGCTCAAAACAACATGAGTCTGTGCAAAAGAAACAGATTCAGTCACTATTGCTAATCTGGTCTGTTGTCAAACCTATAAATTCATAAACTCTTTATTATTTTTCTAAATTTATTTAGTATTCAGTTAAATATTATATTTTTATGCATATTATCCCTTAGTGATAATTTCCACTAGTAATCCATCAATAGTGTTGATTCCTTTTAGACATTTAGAAAGCCGTAGGACTAAGCGAAGAAATATTTACTTTTCAATTAGATCCTCAACTCTGACTTCGCTGTGATATACATAGCATTTTAACTGCAATACACAACATTTCATCAATCAAGTGGCGATATGTCTGTTAACATCAGGCTTACAACTAGACAGGTCCATCATTGTTTTTCCGAATATCATCCAGCATGGTTAAGCAAATGACAAACAAGATCTATTCGTAACTCTATTGTAGCACACCTTAGAGATAGTGAGCATAAGGTTGACGTTAATACTGCATTTAAAATTATTTATCGCATTCCTACTAATCTTAATTTCGCTTTACGAGTTCGTCTTCTGCATACAGCTGAAACATTAGGAATTCACCTGAAGAAGGCAAACCTGTGTGCTCAAAAAAAAAATTTGTACAGCCACTTTCCTTACCCTGTCCATCGTTATATGAATGTATAAACTGGACTACTTTGCCGCCGTCCCTCTAAACCTGTAAAAATTATGTTTGTTCAAATTATTATTATTATTTTTCCGACCACTTTATCTTTGATTACATATTATCCTTGTCGAAATAGTTTTATTTTCTTTGACGCTCTGTAACATAATCACGTTGAACACACACTTATTCCTTGACTACTCTTCATTTTTTTCCAAAATTATACGTTATGCAATCCACTTGTTGCGATCATTTCTACATTTCAATTGTGTGTATTAATTTTCTTCGTTATCCATCAACCCAATGACATGTTGATTCTGCGTAATTATTGTTAACAAACATATCAGTGACAATTGAATGGTAAATTGTTGTGTATTGTAAGAATAGTGCTATACATTTTTTTATTATTTTTTTGGCTTATAGCTTGATTCTACACTGTATTTTCGTTACAAGTATGGAATTTTCAGCATTGACATCGGCAGCCCAAATTTTGCAGACCGACCATAGATATCAGGTGTGCGTCCGCGGGGGATCCAACCTCGGACCATGTGCATGGTCTGCGAGCATCTTAACCCCTGTGCCACCGACGCGCATGTATTACAGTAGAGCCAGAGAAGAGGATCTAATTGAAAAGTAGATATTTCTTCGCTCAGTCTATCTCTTTTCTAAAATAATAACGATGACAATAAGTGTAATTCTGTGATTACGGAATATACACATTGGGTTATAGGAGTTATTAAGAAGACAGTTGCAGTGAAGAAAATTTTCTCTTCGATGAAGTCATCATCTAGGCTGTACATTCGTGTATTTATATCAAATGGATAGGAAAGTCCCAGAATAATTTCCGGTCAAGGGTCAGATTAATAAAAGTTACAATTAGGAATTAAAATGACATAACAAACAGGGGATGGATAAAACTCAAACAAAGTAGCGTCATAATTACTGAGAAGATTGACATATTGTGCAATTCGGGGTTAGAAATGTAGAAATAACAAAATAGACAGGATGACTGTATCAAAAATCTGGTGGGATCATAACTAATGTGACGAATAATTGTTTACGCAGCTAGGGATTAAATACGTAGAAATAATAAAATGACGGGAAGTTCGGATATGAAAACATGGTAGTGTAAATAAGGATTAAGAACAACTTAAAAATAACATGAACAAAGAGGAGGTTTGGATAAGAAAGGTAATGGGATAGTCACTGTTAAAAGAATCACCTGTTTATGATGGCCATGGTAGCAATAAGGGTTGAATATATTCCTCTTGGATAAATAATGTAGGTTTAAGTTTTTGGATAGCCAGTGCCTCGGCTATACCCAGATGTCTTAATTTCACTCCCTTTGATAGGTTTGACTGAATCTAGTATATCACTTTGCACTACCATATTTTCATGTCCCAACTTCCTGTTTATATTGTCATTTTACTTTTTATACATATATAATCCCTAATTGCATAAACAATTATTCGTCACATTAGTTATGATCCCACCAGATTTTTGATACAGTCATCCTGTCTATTTTGTTATTTCTACATTTCTAACCCCGAATTGCACAATATGTCAATCTTCTCAGTAATTATGACGCTACTTTGTTTGAGTTTTATCCATCCCCCTGTTTGTTATGTCATTTTAATTCCTAATTGTAACTTTTATTAATCTGACCCTTCACTGGAAATTATTCTGTAACTTTCCCGCTCATCTGTTATATTTACATGAATGTACAGCCTAGTTGATGCTGACTACGTCGAAAAGAAAATGTTCTTCATTGCAACTGTCTTCTAAATTCTCTAATTATCATGGTCATATAACAGTGAAACTTGAAGGGCAAGAACCTGTCGAAAAGAATATTCCTTGTTAAATTAATCAGATATATAGAAAAATAATTTTTAAATTATGTCAGAGAAATGAATGGTCTTCAGATAGACACAGTTCATGGAATTGCCATACATAAAATTATTCCGGAGACGGAGCCTAAGAGCATCATTTTATCGTGTAGCATACAATGAAAATGAACTTATTCTCATTAGAATAACATAAATCAATTGATCAGAACTCAATAATGTAAAACCAAATGAACCTACCAAATAACTAACCACATAGATCACATAAAATAGTCAAATCCGTACAGAAACAAAACTCCTTGACAGATAGATCACTTACATGCATAATTTTATCTTCTTTGACAACATACATATCTTATAGCCTCTTTTCATAATTCACTATGAACGAATGTTTTTAGTAGTATAGTGTGAATCTGTGTTTTTTTTTACGCCGAATAATCTCAACATATCATTCAATGTTTTTTAAACTGTAGGTTGGTTGATGCATGACTTGTGACGAAATTCATCTGGTAAATATATCAGTCAGCTTTATATACGTAATTTAAATGTTTTTTTTCATATTGTCATCCAGTTTCTTTTGCCTACATGCCCTGTATGTGTGCGTGTATGTGTATGTTTGTGTGCGTCGTGATTACGTGGGCGGAGGAAGAGTGAATTATCCGAAAATTCACTTTTAATTACTATTACCATTATTATTATTATTAACAGTTGAAAATTCTTACCATACTACGAAGTGAAAAATGAATGGCTACTGAATTTTGAATTCCGTTCATATGATAGATAAAACTTTATCTGATTGGTCACCAGATTGTTTCGACTATCTGTTTTATATGAGTAGAACTCTGATATGTAGACAGTACATTTATTAGGATACCATTTGGTGAGCTTGTTGTGTCTATTTTACAAAAGAGTTGTAAAGGATATAAGTATCAAACTTGAGCATTGTGGTAGAATGAGTATAACTCCATTATGGATAAGATTTTATTTTGATAAATCACACACAGTGATGTTATGCAGGAATATTAACTGATGTGACCACGTTTCGAGCACAAATTATTACTACTCATAATCCTATCAAGTTAATCACACAACTTTCTTGCTTCATTTATATACATGAGTAAACATTGATCAGACATTTGAATAATATAATAATATAACATAATGTACATTCGGAACGAATAATAGTGTTATCGACAAAATACAGTCACTGGGGAAATAAGATGTTTTTTAGTAAAATAAATAACCTGTTAGAATGTGAATAGAAATACATTTTAACATTATTATCCTCCTCTGATTTGACTAATAATAATATCTTTTATATCTCTGGTATTTGCATTCAGTCACTTCTGTTGCATGTGTTGGGTGTGGAGTCAATGAACCAGGCAGGATTCAGTAATCAATCTCTCTTCCTCTCCACCTACCTATATTACTTTTTAGAATTTTGACTCTGTCCCACCCTAATGTGTACCTGTGTACTGATGCATGCAGTTTTTTTATTTTCTAAATTACATATACAGGTGGGATCAATCACTCTAACTTTACCTTAATTCTTATGTCCCGCAATCTGACTACCACCGATCTATTAGTTTGACGTATGTAGTTGACCTCACTTACAGTCATTGGAAGGTGTTTTGTAAATCTTATCATTTTGTCTAATTGGATCCATAAGGTTGATTGTTAAATCTGCAGAGCTTGTCCCTGTCTGAGTGAATTTGTAGGTTTGAATGCCACCCCTCATTCCTGCTTTATTGAGAATCTTACGTAGGGTGGTCTCAGATGTCCCCTCCTTATATAGTAAAACTACTCTAGATGTCTTATATTCTCGCTTATTTATGTTGTCATTATTAGTTTTACCATTGTTTTTATTTTGCTTCTGACCTTTTCTGATCTTCCTAATGAGTTTTATAGGGCAGTTAGTTATTTAACACCAAAGCCTCTTCTATCTGTTTTTATTTCATCACTCAGGCTTTTTGTTGTACTACTTATTGCTACTGCTCGGTTTGTCAGACACTAAACTAAACCAGCCTTAACAGTTAACGACGGTTGAGATGAATCAAAGTCTGAATATCTATTGACGGAATGCGTTGGCTTTTATAAACGCTGGTGTTCTGTTCGCCTTCTTCTGCTCGTTTTATTTTACAATCTATGATCATGGCTAATTCCCCTTGTTGATTTTCTGATTTAAATGTATATTGTATTCCCTTCATTAGTGACTCTATATGCCTTCCGATCGATTTAATTACAATACTGATACCTACTTGAATATTTCATCTGATTTCATCATTATTTTCCTCTTTTCTCCCAGCCGAATATATATATATATATATATATCATAGTTGTAGCGCTTTTATAGTATTTGTTGACTTAATATTTATTATTTGTCAAAAACACCCATTGAGACATGAAGAAAATAAAAGACAGTTCGGCAAAGAATTTTTTTATCCACGAAATCACCTTCACCGGGGTGTACAGTCGTGTTGATATTAACCAAAAATGTCTAGTAGTCTATTACTGAGTAATACGGGGGGAGGGAACATAACTGATATAATTACTTAGAAGTGGCTTCGAGAGTAAAATTAAAAATTACATAATACTCAGTGGCACAAAGGAAAAAAGTGTTAGAAAAGTGTTAGGTTAAAATTTTTATTGACTGAGAAAAAAGGTAATCGAGTGTCTATTTAATAAGTGGGAAGAGGGTGGCAAAACGTGCAAAAATAACTCGTGAAAATGATAATAGTGAATTAATTGGTAAAACTAAAAGCAGAAAAGCTATTATTATTGTTATTATTATTATTGTATCCTTTAGTTCCTAGAGGAACATAGGGCTTCAGCTGCGCACCTCCATTGACTTCGGTTTTCTGACAACTTTTTCACCCTGCTCCAGGTCTGTCCACATGCTTTCATCTCCTCCTCGCATGACCTCCTCCAAGTCACCCTTGGACGACCAACTCGCCGCCTCCCTTTCGGGTTCCACTCGAGGGCTTGTCTAGTGATGTCACTTGATGGTTTCCTCAGCGTATGGCCAATCCATCTCCATTTCTTTCTGCCTATTTGTTTCACAATCGGTTCCTGATTGGTTCGCTCCCAGAGATCCCTGTTGCTGATCTTTTCTGGCCATCTGATCTTGAGTATTGAGCGGAGACAGTTGTTAATGAAGGTTTGAAGTTTGTTTGAGATGCTCTTTATGACTCGCCAAGTCTCTGATCCGTATAGTAGCACTGACTTCACATTGGAGTTGAAAATCCGGATCTTATTTTTGATGCTGATTGCTGTTGACCTCCACACAGATTTGAGAGTAATGAAAGCTTGTCTTGCTTTTCCGATTCTGGCTTTGATGTCCTCGTCAGTTCCGCCTGTAGTTGAGACGATGCTTCCCAGGTAGGTGAAGGAGGTTGTTTCTTTCAGGTTCTTCCCATTTATGCTTATTGTGGTCTGTTGTTGCTGTTGATGTTGGCTAGGAATCTTCATCATCTCTGTTTTATCTATGTTCACGTGAAGTCCTATCTTTGATGCTTCTTCTGCCAACTTGTTACTTTTCACTTGCATATCTTCCAGTTTATGGGAAATCAGACATATATCATCGGCGAAATCCAGATCCTCCAAGTCTTTTGTGTCAGTCCATTTTATGCCTGTTCCCTCGTTGGTTGCCGTTGTCTGTCGCATTATCCAATCAATTGCAATCAGGAAGATCATTGGTGATAGTAGACAGCCTTGCCTCACTCCCGTCCTCACTTCGAAGGCTTCCGTAAGTTTCCCGTTGTGGATTACTTGGCATGCAGCATTGTCGTATAACTGTTGGATGAGGTGTATAATTGTCGATGGGACCCCGTAGTAGCGAAGTAGTTTCCAAATGACCTCTCGATCGACGCTGTCGAAGGCCTTTTCAAAGTCGATGAAGTTGAGATAGAGAGGTGACTGCCATTCCAAGCTTTGTTCAATGATGATCCGTAGAGTGGCGATTTGATCAATACATGATTTGTTTCTCCTGAATCCAGCCTGTTCCGGACGAAGTTTTTCATCTAGGGCTTGTTTGATTCTCTCCAGGATGATGCGACTTAGTATCTTGCTTGGAATGGACAGAAGCATAATTCCACGCCAGTTTTTACATTGACTTAAGTCTCCTTTCTTTGGAAGTTTGAATAAGTAACTGTTCTTCCAATCCTCGGGTACTTTGCCCTCTTTCCACACCTTCTCCAGTAGTGGTGTCATCAAGTCCGCTGTTGTCTCTGGGTCTATTTTCAAAGCCTCTGCTGGGATTCCATCTGGTCCCGGTGTTTTCCCAGTTTTAAGCATCTTGATTGCATTCAGGACTTCTGATTTCGTCGGGGGGTCAGTGTTCACTGGTAGTTCTGCTTCCGTTGTTGGTATTGCTGGACGTGTTGTAGGTGGCGGACGATTTAGAAGTCTTTTGAAGTGTTCAACCCAGTGCTTTCTCTGTTCCACCTCTTTGGTGATTGACTTTCCATTGTCGTCCTTTATTGGCTTAATCTGTGTCGAACGTTTGCCCGAAAGGTTCCTAGTTGTTTGGTAGAGTGTGGCGAGGTCTCCTTTGCCTGCAGCTTGTTCTGCTTCGTTTGCCATGGTTTCATAATATTTTCTTTTGTCTTCCCTGGCACTTTTCTTCACTCTTTTGTTCAGTGTATTGTAGCTTGCATTCAGCTCCTGTTTTTGTTGCTCGTCGTGCACTGGATAATCTTTTGCTTCACTGTCCTTCTCTCTTCTATTAGTTTCCAAGTGTCCGTAGTGAGCCACTGTTTGTCCTGTCTCTTTTTTCTGCCTAGAATTTCTATGCAGGTTTGGCTCCACACCGTTTTCAAGTTGTTCCAGTGCTTTTCAACGCCGACCTCTTCGCTAGTGTTGATTTGTGTCTCGGCTTTGTCCTTTATGCTTGCAATGAAGATGTCCTTTGTAGCCTGGTCCTTCAGCTTTTGAGTGTTGAACTTGGCTTGTGGTCTATCTGCAGCTCCTGATTCCCTGAAAGCTTTTAATTTGATTTGGATTGTCCCTTGTACGAGATAGTGGTCTGAGCCAACGTCTGCTCCTCTTCTTGCTTTTGTGTCCAGTAGGCTGCGCCTCCACTTCCTTGAGATTGAGATGAAGTCGATTTGGTTTTTGGTTTGCCCGTCTGGTGACACCCATGTAGCCTTGTGGATATCTTTGTGCTTGTATACACTGCCACCAATCACCAGTTCGTTGAAGGCGCAGAAGTCGGCGAAGAGTTCTCCGTTTTCATTCATTTCTCCTAGAGCTTCTCTACCCATGATGAGTTCCCTTCCCGTATTGTCTGGTCCCAGTTTGGCGTTCATGTCTCCCATTAGTATTTTCATGTCGCCAGCTGGAGTATTGTCCATTGTTGCCTGTAGTTGCCTGTAGAATTCTTCTTTCTTCTCGAGGTCTGCGTTGTTTGTGGGTGCATAACATTGTATGATTGACACTTTCCTTCCTTTGGAGTTGAACCTGGCGGTCATTATCCTGGACGAAATCGCCTCCCATTGTATCAGGGCTTTCGTTGCCGTTGGTGACATCATGATAGCCACGCCCTCGGTGTGCGTGTGGTTATCTTCTGGGTGACCGGAGTAGATCACTGACTCACCTGTTGACAATTTGGTGAGTCCACTCCCATTCCATCTGCTCTCACATATTCCCAGCACTTGTATTCCGTATCTTTTCATCTCGTTGGCGATCTGGGCAGCTTTCCAGTCTCGTACATAGTTCG